ATATATTAGTACAAACTATTAATTGTCTTCTTCCTTAGAGGTATACCTTATTGAAGATTGAATCTGATGAAGGCCGTTCGAACGGAAGAGAGACAGTCAATTCTAAAGCTGTCATGTTTTAGTTCTCTTTTAATGTTAACGTTACGTTTTCAGTATGTGAAACGTAATAATGTTGAACGTTACTTGTCTGGGAATAAAGTTTTAGATCAAAATTAGCGTAATCCAAAAAATGTATTTATTTTTTGAAAACAATGTGCAAAATGTAATGTTACTTTTAAAGTTAAAACGTTCAAATTAATGAGGAACTGTTACTGAAACATTACAATTTGAAATGTAACAATAATTTTAAACAGGGGGCGGCAAATTTGATGTGCCTATAGGCATCAAAATTATGAATACGCCTCTGGGTAGGTGAGTACCGCGCCTACACGCGCTTGCAAGACACGGACGAGCGGTGCGCATACAGTTTGCGTTTTATCATTTTTTTATATAATTACACGGTTGTGAACCATGAGAAGCCACGATATCCTAAGGGTAGCCATGTACAAACAAACACATTACGAATATTCCGAGGCTGAACAGCTGTCGCGGCGAAGGGGTGATATTCACTTTTTTAGCGAACTGTGATTTTGGTTCATATTTAGGGGAATTATTCTATAGCATCAGACCACGTCAATTTCAGAAAAACGATCATCATTGTGCCTCTTTTTTTTGTTCTTCTTTCTTCGTGTCTTACCACTAATATTCATGTTTCCTTCCTCATTAGCAAAGAATCGTACAACAAACTTTTAAAGACTTTCGTTCAAACGTCCCCATTGTCTTATTATCTCGCTCCCTGTTCTGAAAAATGGATCAATTTTTTTAAAAGTAAACTTTGTTTTCAAATAACGCAAAGGTCGCTTATAAGATTTGTACATGTCTCATTTTCGTTAAAATACCTGATATTTCTAAAATTGCAAATGTTCAATTTTTTCGGTGCCTACCACTACAATATTGAAGATATCCCCCCACAAAAAAAACTAGAAATTTTTGTTCGGTTCTAAAAAATCAGCTCTTTAAAAAGAAGGGGTACAATTTTTTTTTATTAAAGGAGTGCTTGTAATTAATACAATTTATAAAACGGGAATTTTCAACTCAACAAGCACATTTTTTCGATTTATGAAAGTGGTACCGATCTAATTTTTGTAGAATTCTCTGAAGTTTCAAAACTTGCAAATTTAGAAATAACGCGAGAAAGTATGTGTTATAGCACCATTAGTTTTAAATATCCGCAAGTCTATTTACTCTGCCCGTCTTTCTATTTGCCGTCAATTCGTCTGTGAACAGCACTATTCAGAGAATAGTTTCTCAACGAATCTTCTTCGATCGCTATGGTCCCATTCGCCCTTTAGAAACAAATTCTTTGAATTTTAGAGGGCACCGCCCACGGGGAATCCGCAATACGTTCAATATTTTCTCAAAAATGGCTTCAATTTTTCATAGCGAGCAATGGTTCAAGCAATGTGATGGGTCCCCAGAGAAGCGATAGTGGCTCTGATAGGTAATTTAGGAGCAAAACCGGAAAAAGAGCCCAGAGTTTGCTGATGGAAAAGTAATCTAAATTATAAATTTAAGGTATTTTTTACAAAATTTGGAATCGCATCCGTACAGTTTGAAACAAAGCATACAATACTCTCAAGAAACGTTCTGTTGAATTGTTTTCCGTATCCTCTTCCGAGTTGATCTGCAATACAGATCTTGTGGGTGAGAAACTAACGATAGGTGGCTGTTCAGCCCTGCAAGCGAGGCATGGACAGAGCGGGTAGGGCGGCGTAGATGGGGCGGGAAGGGTTGGGAGCTGGGGAGGACAAGGAAGGGAAGTGAAGCAGAAACCACGGAGGGGGCCGTTGTGAGAGTGTGACTTTCATTTCTCCCATTGCATACTTTAGATATAATGCATTAATTAAATCTAATGCAACGCATTGTAACAAATAAAACGCCAGAAAGAGGCAAGGATATCGAAATAATTATGTTCAAACTTTTCTGTTAGTTGGGTACGTGATAAAAGTTTCTCATGCGTAGGGAGAGGATCAAGTTCTAAAAAATGCATGCAAACATGCACAATCAAATCGTTAAACGCGCAGAATGCAGTGTAAAAATTGACATAACATGCACAGTCAAATTTTAGTTTAGTATGCATTTTGTTTTAGTACTTTCGTAACGTAAACCATCAACAAAGTCTAAATTTTACTCTGAAACATTCATCCCTCGGTTAGAAACATTTTTTTTATGCAGAAAATGCTTACTACGTTACAAGACATTGAATCACAAGACTTTGAATACTTCAAAGATGAAATCTGGGCCACTTTGAGATCAAATTATGTATTTTGTTGTTTTTTACCACAAATAATTTTTTTTTACATTTTGGAGAAATCTGAAATTAAGAATTTGAATTTTACTCTAAATATAATTTTTCCTTAGCAGTAACATTCACTTCTACAAATACTAATGCCAGAGATGCATCAATTATAATATTCTCAAATTATGGGAAAATTAATTTAAGCCTAGTTTAGGCACATGGGTGACAAGTGTCCCCATAGATATGCCTCGCAAGTTTGTAACAATATGAGTTGAATTCTGGAAGTGCATCTTTGAGAAGCTGCACGTTAGTGTTGCTGCTTATTGTAGAGCCCGTAGTATACTTCTGGTTCTCCTGTACAGGTCGTAAGTAATAAATTCTATCTGCAGTTTTGCGTTTGTGACAGGTATCAACCGCGTGCCTATATAGATAGATTTTTTAACATACTCGGCTATTTGACATACATTTGCATTCATTGTTTATATCTATATGTATACTCTTAACGACTTACACCAATAGTTTTTCACTTTTATGTATTTTATAATTTTTCTTTGAAATTATTTAATTTGTTCACCATTTTATTTCAAACGGTAATTTGTTATATAATTCAAATCCTTTGACAAATGATTCTTTATTGCCTGTACAGTTTTACTGAAATTGATTACTAAATGTAAAGTTTGTCTTGTTTCCCTTGTTTTATCTTTCACTCTTTTGATTTGTTTAGTAAACTCCTGTTATATAATTTTTAATTATTTTAAAAATAAAAATTAGTGTTTTATAGTGAATGCTCTCTTTTATTGACTTAAATATCGGAGTGCCTAGCTTATCTATCACTGGTGTGTATCAGTTGCATTGAATTATTACTCTCATGGCTCTATTTTGTGGTATCTGAAGTTTTTTAATTTCAGTATTTTAGGCTCAATCAGTATTGTTGCACAGTAATCAAAATGTGGTGAAATATGTATATGTATATGTGTATATCAAACATCTTATTTAGCCATTTATGTATTGCCCAATTCTGTTGAAAATATTAATATTTTTTCCAGTTTTCTTTACTATGTACTCTATATAATCATAAAAATTTAATTTACTATGGATAATCACTCCCAAATATTTCATTTGTATTTCCTTTAAGTCGATTGTGAATAATTTAGTTTCCTTTCTATGTTTATCTCACATTGTATAATCATAAATTTAGTCTTTTCAACATTAATTAATAATTTATTTACTTTAAACCATTCTGGTATTTCAATAAAAGCACTTTTGAGTTTAAATTCAATTTCCGCTTCTGTTTACCCAATTACATACAATAAGGTGTCATCAACAAATAATTGAATTTTATAATCATTCCCAAACAGGTTTCTCATATACTTTATGAAGTCATTAATGTAAATTATAAACAATATTGGATCCGAAGCTGAACAAACACCTGAATCTACGGTAATTTCTTCTGAGATAATATTATTATACTTCTGTTTGCTATTCAATTTTCGACGTTTCCTTTGCTTCCGTATTTGTACATTTTCTCAATAAGCTTTGTCCTGTCAATAGTTTCAAATGGCATCTTGAGGTACAAAAAGATTACTCCTGCTTTCTTTCTTGCAACTAATCTTCCATTGGTCTTAAAGTAAAATGCGTCTGATGTATCGTAGTTTCTCATTAGTGTTTTCCTCTGAAGCCTGATGGTTTATTTTCTATTATTTTATTTGTTTTAATATACTGATTTAACTGATTCTTTACTATGTCTTCTAATATTTTTTTCATACATGGGTAGCTTATTTATGGGCCTAAATTCAGCTGCTTTCTTTTGAATGTGTCACTTTTAGAATAAGTATTATTATGGAAATTTTCCATGACTTTAGAAAATCTCCTTTTCTAGGGAATTATTTATTATTTTCAATAACACTGATTCAAATATATCATAACTTTATTTTAATACTTTTCTCGTAATAAACTCGTCTGTTCCTTTTTTGTTTGGTAATCTATAGATAATTCCACTCAATTCTTCGCTTTTCATCAATTCAAAACACCATCTTTTATCTTGCTTGCAAATATTTTGATTTTCTGCGTCTGCATTTTGTTCTATTCTTTCAATGCTACTTACAAAATAGTTTTGAATCTGTTAGTTATATTTCCTTCACTTAATTCATCAAAATCTTTAGACATATCACATTTAACTTCCTGTTAATTTCTTAACTACCTTCCATAATTCTTTACTATTACTTTGGGGTTCATTAAAAGTATTATTATAATATTCTACTTTCCTTTTCTTAACTAATTCCTAACTAACTTTTTCAATTTAGCTTAACCACTGTCAGGCAGGATCGGTTACTTTTGGTGTCTTGAACCTCTACATTTTTGTTTACATTTGAGAATACTAAATCAATGATTTCTGTTACTATTGCGCAATTTAAAAATTGTGCATTTTTAAATTGACTTTGCCATGAAATATATATTCACAAAGTTTGAAACCTCTAAGAAGCTAAAGTAAAACATACGCAATGGCTTGAAAATCCTGTCTCTTGACATTAGTATCGGAAATAAAATGAGTAAATGACGAAAAGATGATTTTCAAACTTTTCCATTCGCCGCATACAACTTCTGGAAACTTGTCGCAACATATTTTACAGGACTTTGTGAAGTAACGCAACTGTTTAGTAAAATGTCAAAAAACGCAATAACGTCATCTCACACAGTTCATGATATCGTCGTTAACCAGACCATTCCTCACATTGAACAGGAAACTTTCAAAAATGAGGTGAGAATGTTCACTAAAGCATTATCTAGGAAATAACATTAATAACTAAAATTTTAGTGAAGTTATCTCAATACAAACTTTTGAAAAATTACAAAATATGAGAATTTACGTTATAAAATGTGCTATTCTTCATGTCAAAAGAACCATTTAAGGCAGGATGCCCTTGTATGAACATTATAAAAGAATGTTTTCTACAACTGCCTAAAAAAGGCAACTTCTGTGCATCGCTAGCCTCCGTAATGTTCGACAATTTTTAATATCCATTAAAATAAGATTGTTGCCTATAGAACTGTCTTGTTACCGTAAAAAAGTCTTATTTGCGAAGTTTTAGAAGCTATTATCTAATCATGTTTTGTGTAGTTGTCATTGCGTTTTTTTAGATGTTATTCTCTAATCATGGCCGTATGAAATGCATTTCTATATTATCCGGGATATCAGGCTTCTACAAAACCTTTTGTGTTATATTTTTATACAGTTGAAGAAAAAAATGTTGTTCATGTTTCGTGTGTGAAGTTTTCATTACTTTTACGGTCGATATTGAGAAACAGGAACGTTACACAAGTAAAATGGAAATACGAATATACGAAGCAACGCACAAATTTCAAGAGTAATCCTGCTACAACTGCACTTATTTTCTTGACGTAGTAGTAACAAAATATTTTTATTGTATTATTATTATTGCATTCTGTTTCCGACTAATACTTTGGCATTTTTAAAAATCTCATAAAAATGCACACGAAGAAAGTCTTGCACTGGCCAACATTCCAAGCTATGGAGGGTGGACAGGGGCTAATCGGAGAGCAAAGAGCCAAACGGTATTGAGGTTCTCATTTATATTTCCACATAATATCGCGAAATGTAGTGGTTCAGCAACCATCACTAATAATAGATGTCCACCTAAGAGAAGTTGCAAGCAATTTTTAAACAAGAAAATTACAATATCGCAAAAGTAGCGCATTAGAATGATCATATACCAGTGGCGGCGCGTGCTCAGGGTGCACAACCTCCAGATAATCGATTAAGATCTCGTAGTATCTTAAAAATATTAATTTTCCTGTTAATTACATTCAACATTCAAGATATTGAAATCATTTTGAAACCACAGAGCATCCAACTGCGCTCTCTCCAGAGCTTGGTGTCTTGCACGGTATTGCACTATGCCCTTGGCTGTTTACTGCATTTACTTTTTGGCCCTTCGATTTAACGGCCCTTTTTGGTTGGGCAGCCAGGCGGGCGGCGCTATCTAGCGCTGCGCTACGACCGAGGGGTCTCCGGAGAATCGAAATATTCTGTCTTCGTCCGACTCGCTGCAACGTAATTTTATGAATTTCGCTTCTAATTGAGAGTGTACAAGTTCAATCAACTATTGACGGCAGTTAATGCATTATTTAGGTTTAAAGAATTTGATTTTATTTGATATTGAATTTATTGATTTAAAGTGTACCCTTGACGAATTCTTTGCGTAAAGTTGGCCGTTCTGGAAGGAAGTTCTTTTCTCGATACATAATTTTTCCGCATGCAGTATCCTGCATGGAAAGCGCTGGTAGGAATACGTGCATGTGCGTGTGTGTGTCGGTGTGGAAGGATCTTTATTACAAAGTATTTTAAGGTAGTTAAATTTTCGAAATAATATAATTTTATTTGTGTGAAACGTGCCGAGCAATGTGCTGGAGTCGAACTTCAGTGTTCAGTGTAATACAAAGCGACCACATATACCGGACCGTTCACGATAACAATTATGTAAGTAATGTTTTAATACAGACTTTCATTTAGCTCACTTTTAAGTAATTTGGATTGCTTACATTTGTATTATATATTCGTATTTTGAATTTTGGAAACTACATTTCCGTCATTCGATGAAGGTGCAACCTCCAGTCTGTTATGGCACCAGCCGCCATTGCCATATACACATAAATATCATACAAATGCAACCTATAAATCGGAATTTAAAAAAATAACATTCCACAATTTATCGTTATTAAATTGTTTCTTACTGGGTAGAAGTGGGAGGAGTGGAAAGCAGGTACTGAGATGGAAAAGATGCCGAAATATAGTTGACTCGAATGTCGCGTTTGATGTGGCTCCTAGTCAACTAATCGAAAACCTGATCTTCGCACCCTGATCTGGTACGCCCCCGGGACACTTTAGGAGTCTCGCCAGCTTGCGGCCTTCCCCTGCCGATTGAGCGGACTTAACGGCCGGACTTGTCTTACACAACTCAATACTCTTGTTTTAATTCTTCTAATTGTCAAAGGCCCTTTCAAATGTATGAGATTTGGATTATACACTATCAAATGGCCAAGTCGTATAAAAGAACCAAAGAGTCCGACGTCGAAAGTGTTCCGAGCCATCGCCACGCGTCTCATGAAGCAGTCGCGATTTCAGACCACGAATGCATTTGCCGAAGGGCCTTGTTGAAGCTTTGAATATAGCTAAGTTGCGGGAGAGCTTTCGATATTGGGCTGAAGATCCGCAAATACATCTTCCGGAGTTTTTGTCAAGAAGCGAAATTCTGAAAACGACAAGTATTAAGACTGTTAGCACATGGCCTTGGCATTAGAATCTACTTCAACATTAAATATTGAAGAAAATATCAGTTTTACCTGAGTGTAAGAGAAAAGAAATCAGTTAACTTTGTTATTTTATTCCATGATACAATGCGTGCATTTAGCAAGAATATTTCGCTGTGTTGCGACGCGTCATAAAATGTGGGTTTACTGAGAATATAACATCGTGGAGCTTAAAAATCGCGACACCGACTTCACATAAATGGTTCAACTCTCAGTGCAGTAGGCACTCGCGTGTTTCACGTGCGAGGCAACCGCCTCTTAATGTTTCGGCTGCTGCGTTTGAAATATGCGCTCACGGTGTCTTAGCGAAAAGGTAATTTCTTCGAATGACGGCAATGGAAAATGTTGCTGGCGAGCAGTCGTTTCTGTCGTCCGGAAGGTGGTACACTCTCACATCCATCTTTGAAAGAAGTTCGAGAGAATAATCATAGAATTTTTTTCTCTGTAACACAGTTTAATGGTTTTTGAGGAGAAAAATAAAATTCTCGAACGCGTTTTTTTAATGTATGCCCTTTGCTGTTACTTCATCCCAAAGAATGATTATAATTCTTTGCATTCGCGATTACGCACCAAATTTGACTTAATTTGGCTGTCTATGTACACAGGCAATTTGTCACGGGCTTTGTTTCAGGTTCGTTCTTCTCGTGATGTTGGCGGTGATGACGACTTCACAGATTGAATCACCAATTAAAGGGCGCCACTTGCTAATCGACAACTTGCAGATACATGCATATCTTAATCAATTATACTTCTCATCAGTTAGCGGCCTCTTGAAATGTTTGGACAACCCCATGCGTCCGCAGGTGAAGTAACAAAATTGCACATACTCGTAAATGTAAGAGAACATGCATGCTTCTCCTTCTTAGTTCTTTAGTAATCTTTTCTTATATCAACCACTCGCAAAGCCGTTAATCGTTTGGAAAAAGTAGTCGGGCAAATAAAATCCACAGATATTTTTACTTTTTATTATGATTAATGTATATTATCACTGTTCCAAAGATTTTTAGGGCTGGTTCAGTTAATAAAGAGTGGCGAAGATGGTATAAGCGCAGACTGTAGATTGAGAGGTGATTAATTTAAATACATACCAATTCTCTGTTACTCCTATAACTCTGAAGAACCACCATAAATTATGACCCAAGGAATCTGTTTCTAGCTGAAAAGCTAATCGAATGGGAAACTCTCACATCACACAGAATTAAACACAAGAAATGTGAATTTAGACAATAATAAAAATTATTGAATGGTTTCAAATAAAGAATGAGTGCAATACGCTGCATAGAAGCATATTTCAATTAATTTAATAATGAAAGAACCATTTAAAGATTGGCGATTACTACCATGATTGATAAGCATATGAATAATAGTAAATACAATTACATGAATACATTGTGTGACATTTACATAAAATAACCATGTGGTTCTGAAAGAGAAAATACACTGTTTACGTGTGTTAAACAGTAGATCTGGCAGCTGACGATGTTCCAGGCTGGACGCACACAGCGCTCCAGCTGAGGGAGCGTCGATGACAGCGAAGTTGGGAGGCAGGTTGGCAGTCCTGCCGTGGCCGATCGCTGAGAGTGTAAAGTTTATGATTGCGTGTTCTTATTGACGGCTTGTTCACAGACATTGCCTTGCTTCAAACATGATGAAGAGCATGTCTGTACCACGGACACTGATACAATTGTTATTGTAACAATAGAATTGTTAGTTCAGACGTTGAATAATGTGATTGGAATAATTGCTGTTGCAATATTAATTACCACATTGCATCACGGAGGTAGTAATGCTGTTCAGATTGATAACAATAAAACAGCTTAATCGTTGTCAGTGAAGCAGTCCAAATGACAGGGGTTGAAATATTCGAGAAGCACGTTACGTCGCTGAGGCAGTAACAGTCTTACACTCGCGTATGTAACTACAGCATGTAATCAGCTTGAATGAATGTAATTGGCAATATACAAAAAAATGCACTGCCTTCTGCTATAACACGATTAACAGAAGGTGCATTAATAATTTGTTGCAGAGAAGTTACAAACGCGTGCATGGCACATTCCGAAAGTAAGTTATGATCCGTCGCTGGGGGGCCACGAGGTTGACTCCGTGAGCATTAGCAAGACTGGCTGGCGAGCGCAGCCTCGGCTCAGGCCGGCGGCGCGTCCCCGGCCTTTGGGAGTCGTAACCAATGAGATCAGCCCTTTCAAATTGTCAACACTGAATGATTACGACAATGGCTATTTTAGAATTAAAATGAATTACAGCTTTAATGGACGTTTAAAATCACCAAATGCATGGGGTTACTGATGTGCTTAATATAACGACGCAATGAGATGGTATCACCTTGCGTAGGTGCTGCAACCGTGGTACGGCCGAGCTGCGGCTTCTGCGAAAATAAGTGGGTTGAGGAATTTCTAGAATTCGCCGTGTCTGTTGGAGCTTGCAGGCTTATGAAATGATACAATGATGAAATGCACAGGATCTTTTGTAGGGTTGCCACCTCTCCGGTTTTAGACCGGAGACTCCGGTTTTTGAGCATATCCGGTCTCCGGTTTTTGAAAAATTATCTCCGTTTTTTTCTTCAATTTCAATACATTTTCAAATTTTCAACTTAAAATTTAAAGCTTTTTCTATTTCATCAGAAATCTGTCCTTTCCTTTTTTATTAGAAAGATAAAGAGCAGAACATGAAAATTGGTCTTGCGATTCTCGTGATATCGCCATCCGCTGTCTCTTTCTTTCTACGCATATCAGACAGAGACAGCATCTAGCGATTATGCGAGAATCGCATCGCGCAACAGTTTCAAGAATAATCCCCTGGGAATGCTATTAGATATCTTCATTTTGAACAAGATCGAATTTTCGTTCATTTTTTCTTAGAAAATTATTTCTTGGAAACGTTAAGATAAATTTGTGATTCGTGGGAACTGCACGTCATGTATTACTTGTGCGAAAACTAAGAAAACGGTTTTCAATGTTTAGTAAAAGTATAGCTGGAAAAAGTAGAATGTTAGCAAAGTGTAACACTATTTTGAATAAATGTTAATTATTTATAGATCACTAGAAACCAAAGATATGTAAATATATTTTAAAGAAATAAATAAGTCTGCGTCAATTTCTTTTTAGATTTCAGTAATTACCCCCCCCCTGTCGCAGCGGTCTCCGGTTTTCTTGAATTGACAAGGTGGCAATCCTAATATTTTGCTTACATCGAAGTGCGTATTAAATATAGACAGCTTGCTCGAACAAAGAGATACAACCAATTTTGTTCATGCAAATCGGTGTAAAATGTGCGTAGGTGGACGAATAGAGTATGTGTACGATAAAAAGAGACTGTCAGATTAAAAGCTTATGAGCAGAAACTTAAGGCATGGGTAACAACTAGTTGTAACTGAATCGTTAGCAGATTCTGACCTTTCGCTAGACGGCCTGTTACGGGCTTTGGCCAACAAGTGGTGACTCAGCCTGTCGGCCACGGTATAAGGGGTTCGTGCGGTTAATAACCTTAGGGTGGGCTTTCTCATCGGAGCACAGCAATAAAAACTAGGACATTTGTAAGGAAAGCGCATTGGAGCATTCTCATTAGAGAAAATGTTGCCCCGGTCGAGAATCGAACCCGTTGTTGCGCCATGGAGAGCGAGCACCCTAACCTATGAGCCACCGAGGGCTATTTACACACCAACTGCCTGTTATTTGTAATATCAACTGTGTTATCTTGTTTTATGTAATAAGACCGAGTAAAAAGGAATGGAGAAATACCCTTTCTCCGAGTAGGAAAACTCATCCTCCGTCTTCAACTACGTTGGTTCCGACTTAAGGACTGAAACATTTTTAACGGACAGGGGCCTTAAGGGAAGCTCTTCCTGAGAAAAAGGAGTCTCTTGTGTTTTGATTCTTCACTGTAATCGATATTATCAGTATGGTTTCAATATTCACATAATGTTTCGAAAATTAATTGAGAATGGAATGAAATAAAAATTATTCGCAAGACTTTTGTCCTGGTAAACAATTAACAGATATTTAATTGAAAAATCGTACTTCGTGATAACCCATTTACGCTTTCGCATTTTTTAAAAAAATGGTACCATACCTCTTATTCGCTATTATTGAATGGAATAAATCTGGTCTAATATTTTATGAAAACGCGTCCACATAAAATAAAAATGTTCCCCAAATCGTGATCAAACAAGAAAGGCCTGAAGCAAATATTTAAATCAATCGCATGCTTCACCATTACCCTTGTGCACAGCCCTGCGCAAGCAAGCCTTTTGGTGACATGACGTGAACTCCGGGCAGACGCCAGGGGGAATTGGGATCGTCTGGCATCAAGATTCCGTCATGACGTATACAACTCGGTGCGTTATTGACAACCTGTGTTCGTGACACCGTGTATACCCCTTTTAATGGTCTGGTATAATAACCAACGATCAAATGACATTTAAGATTATTCTAGATGTATTTAGTGCTGATAACAAGATTCTAACCCTAGCATGTCTGGCAACATTCTTATTGTATTCCAGGAAGTTGAATATTCAGTCGCCGCAGAACGTCTAAGTTCTATTCATACGCGGTCGCCCCACCTAATCAATCGTATGTACTCCCCAACCATCTAGAAATCTATTTTAGTGCCTTAAGACCCCTGTATATTTTAGCCGAATAGACGCAAGGAACATCCTTCTTTGGAGTGCATTTATATATTATAATTAAGTGCCCTCGAAAATATTTCAAACCTTTGCAAGCGCAGATGACTTCCTGTTTCAGTTATTAGATGTATAGTTTTAAAAAATGTTGCCACCGCCTGACTTAGATGATTTCAATTCAAAACTGTTTTTGTCTTGTATTTTTGCAGGTAACATTTGTTGAAATGCGCCTTCTATTTCCTCCTGGGAGTATCATATCTGCTATTCATGCGGCCAACCTCCCGCTGACGTTGGAGCCCAACTTCTCTCGTGGAAGTATTCACATACTGACAATGCATCCTCAGTTTGCAGATGCCAAGCAACAAGCTATTCATTTAATGCATCTGCCTTCGACTGATCCTCTAGGCGTTTTCATAGTAGTGTACTTGAGTGAAGGTGTTTCACAAAAGGTGCTCCGTGAAGTAACCAAAGAATACTTTCTAAAACTTGGCACAACCCATGTGATTCAACTGCTTCCTATAGTAAAAACGAATGTTGTTTTCGGGGTGTCGCACAAGGGGTCTTTTATACTACAATCTGTGGAAGATTTTTGTGAAGATCAGGTAGATGAAGGCACTCGGAAATTTAAACTTAACACCGGATATGAAAACTTGAAGTACTTTAGATTTCAATTCGTAATAAGCGAGGAACACACATGGAAAGACAAAAGAGGTGAAATACGATTCGGAGGGCGAGATTATGAATTTGCCCAACTACTGCAAAATTTTGGAATGGATTGGGTTTATTATAGAATGAGACGTACATTAAAGGAAGCTCTCGAAATTGAGTTGCAGATGCCTTCGACAAGTATCTCCAGCTTAACTGGGCAAGCATTGCTGAAAAATATCGAATATTCTGCAGTTACAGAAAAGGTAATAATTTAGATGTAAAGTTAATTGTGAAGTAACTTCACATATCCGTTTTCAGGCAAAAGTCTTACTTGTTATCTGAAGAATTTTGTACATTTGCGGAAAACGTTTGAGAAATACACAGGTTTACATTTCAACGTAGAGAATTTATTTCACACACAAGTTCGGAGCTTCAAAAAACAAAGGAAGAGCTCTTGTACAAATCTCTCCCCAAACGACTATATTTGTTTTATGATACAAATACAATACACAAAACACCCATTCAACAGATAATGATCGCAGAAGGGTTGTTAGTCTCGTAATTTATCCGGTAGAAGTCAAAATAGGTAAAGCAGTACCTCATACCAATTATTAAACAGACATCTTATACAACTAATATACATTATTTTAATTGTAAAATTTGGAAGTTTTTTAAGAAAATGCTATTCGAGCAAATTGCGCAATTTTCAGCTTATTTTTATAGAATACTTTTGAGTTTTCGAAAAATTTCATAAGCAATCATTTGAACCATAAGTATTCACAAATGCAACAATGCATAATAATAACTATATAGTAAATATGAAATACGTGTGAGGTGTTCCAAGAACATTACAGTAGTGTAATTTTTGAAAAATCAAAAGTATACTTAAAAGTGGTGTTTACAGATAGATATTATTTCTGCAGGTAGGTTTATGCCACCCATAAAATTAAAACAGTGTAACATTAAAATTATTTTATAATAATAATAATAACAATAATAACAACAATAAAGCAATAATAGCATTAAATTTACATTTTGTGGCTATCATTGAATTGAATTTGCCTTATTTTACGTGGCGAGACTCGGGCCATCAGGCCCGCTCTTCCGTCTGGCCAAATTTCGCTACGCTCCTTTCATCAACTAGCAGAAAAAGAAGGTGTTTCTAAGGCGAGACAGGCGATTTGAATTTAGCTCAAAGGCGTCATTTAGGCTTGAGGATCTTTTACATGCAAGTAAATCTACGAACATGGGACAGCCGGCTTTACTTCCCCTCCGAAGGAAGGCGTACGAAGGATTTTGTCACCCTTAAAAATCCACGGCTTCGAGCGGGTTTGAACCCGCCAACTTCGGTACAACTGTTCGATACACTAACCATTACACCATCGCCGCCCCGTATACCATCATATACAGATGTACTAATTAATTCATGACTTTTGAAGTACACTGCACAACACTTGCACTTTTCTTCTCTATTGCAGTACACTTTATCACACTTCAATACAAATACTGCATTGAAAATTATTATATTGTGTATTTAGTAAAGAAATACATTTAATAGTAACAATATTGATATTAATAACAAACATATTTTAATGATCATAACTTACTAATTAATAAAGTTTACAAATATCTTTAGTTAATTTACTTTTAAATTTTTGACCACCTTGAGGAATGGGTTCAAAGACTGTCACCGTAAGTTATTCCACACCGTTATTTTCATTCATAAAGGGTACTTTTCAACATCTATTCTCTGTGACTTGGTTTGGAGTTCGCGCTACACAAATTCAAGGCAAACATTTTTTATTTAAAACATTTGGACTTGTACGCTTTCCATACATCAATAAAATACTTATGCAGTATTGACAAAGAATTTACTATACCATCATAGGCTTTCACGGTCGGAGTCAATATAAAAGAAAGTTTCCAATCCTAGCAGCCCGGAAACTTTCTCTTACAAACAATTTACTGAATGTAAAATGTACAGTGGAGTCTCTGATTACCATTCTAGTTAAAATAAAATTGCAAAACAAATTTATTCAATTTTGCTATTTTTAATTTTAGATTTGTGCATTGGATCATGATTTTTTTAAAGTAGCCATCGAGAAATGTTGCTAAAAACTCAGTTATAAGAATACATCATGATTTGTCATGTTTTTTGCTCATTTGATTGCAGTCTGACGACCACCTGGTCGTTCGCCGGGCCAAGAGAGTTCCTTTTGGGCTGGTGCTGATCCTGCCCTTCCATTGGCAGACCTGGAGCTCTGTTCTCTGCATCGTGGTGCTGACTGTCGTTGCCTGGGCACTAGCGCGATGGCGGCCATTTCAAATTTCCAGTATGCTTACCGCAGTTTTCGACGTTGTGGAGATGTCTCTAACTGGAAGTTCTTCAAGAAACATCCCCTGGAGTTCCCAGAGATTAATAGCCATGTGCGCCATCTTATTGCACATGCTAGCCGGAAATACATATACAGGACTTTTGCTTGGCTTTTTAACATTTCCTCAGTATTATTTAGAGCTGAATACCATTGAAGATGTTGTGGCAAAGACTGATAGGCTATATGTTACTGGTAAATACTATTACGACAAAAAATTATAAATTATGGAAACTAAAAGAGAATTTAATATTTATACGAAACACAAGTGAAAGGGATATTTGCGTACGAGACATAATTCAGTCAGGAAAGGCTGCAACTTGTATGACCGATCGCATATATTCAGTTATTTCGCGCCATAGGAAATATACAGAACATGGACGAATATTGCTACACAAGGTAAAAGAAAATCTATTATCTCCCAACTACGGAGCATATACACTTCGTCGAAATCACTTGATTTTTCATATTATTAACAAACTGGTCCTTCGCTTGTGGCAATCGGGAATATTTGATCATTGGGACGATGCGTTGTCGTACAGTTTGGATGTCGACGGGCAAAGATACACGAGTCACGAACGACGGGATGGTGTTCCTGAAAAACTGAGGATCGACCAATTGTGCGGGCCTTTTCTTTTGTATGTTGGGGGCATGTGCCTGGCGGGCATCGCGTTTCTAGTGGAGCAGATGCGAGGGCGCCAGTGGCAAGCTCACATGGTGCGGGGATTAAACGTTTTAGTTGAATGGCTTCTGAGGCAATAATTGAATTGAATTAATGCCTTATTTTACGTGGCGAGACTCAGGCCATTAGGCCTGCTCTTCCGTCTGACCACGCAAATTTTGCTACGCTCCTTTCATCAACTAGTAGAGAAAGGAGGTATTTCTTGGGTGAGCAACACGCGAATTGAATTTTGCTCAGAGGCATCATTTAGGCTTGAGGTAATGCAAGTAAATCTACTAACATGGGACAGCCGGCTTTACTTTCCTTCCGGAGGAAGGCGTTGAAGTATTTTTTCGCCCTTAAAAATCCACGGCTTCGATCGGGTTTGAACCCGTCAACTTGGGTTCAACAGTCCGATACGCTAACCGCCCTCGCCGGGCGCCTTTCACCATAGTTACACCATCGCCGCGTCAATAGAGATCCGAGTGGGAACGTTTGATTGAAATAGAAAATGAATTGAATCGAAGCGAATGGAAGTTCCATCCCACAAGGTTCCGAGCCAAGAACCTTCTTCGTGAGCTCTACATTTGTGCTTTGTGTATTGTATACACGAATACTAATAGCTATTGGATTGTTAAGTTGGTACAAATGCAATATTTTATCGTTTAGTTGGGTATAACATATGTAGATAAAAGGACCCTGGGCCCGATGGTGTCAAATATTCGGACTTCGTAACAATCCAGTTTCAGAATTAATATTCTATAAATATGCTATTTTGAGCTTGTTTTCAAAAAAGCCTGTGAGTTTCAATAAACTTCATGGGAAAATGTGTTTCAATCACTTGTACTCACAAACGCTACAATTTCTATACAAGAGTTCATAAATATTATCGACGAGAGAGATATTTAAAAAAAACAATTTGTGCAATTATTGAAAAATGAAACAAATACATTAAAATGGCCCTGATGTCATATTATTCAGTACATTAAGAACTATTCGTAAAATAACTTAAGATACAATTTGGTGCAGTTTTGAGAAAATCTTGTTTTTAACGTTGCCCATATTCCACTCAAAGTTGCCTGAAAACTACTTATATTGGTTATTATATATTATACTACTAATATATTAAAAATGGTAATGGTGATTAATTAAAGAACTAATTGTGGAAAACAAGTCTCATTTCAAGAAAAAATCTCTACCTCCATTCATGTAGTTGTAAAACGACGAAAAAAGTTTGAACTTTTGCAATTTTTGAAAATACAGAGAATTCAACAAATATAGGACGTCGTCATTTTTATATGCGTACGTTACTCTACGTTACGTAACCCGGTCGAAGCAGTGGATTTTTAAGGGCGAAAAAATCCTTCGTACGCCTTCCTTCGGAGGGCAAGTAAAGCCGGCTGTCCCATGTTCGTAGATTTACTTTCATGTAAAAGATCCTCAAGCCTAAATGACGCCTCTGAGCTAAATTCAAATCGCCTGTTTCTCGTCCACGAAATACCTCCTTTCTCTGCTAGTTGATGAAGGAAGCGTAACGAAATTTGCGTGGTCAGACGGAAGAGCGCGCCTGATGACCCAAGTGTCGCCACGTAAAATAAGGCAAATTCAATTCAATTCAATTACTCTATTCCATTAAAAGATTTAATTAAAGCATTTGGAGACATTTTTGAGCAATGAAAATGTCCTTCATGAAAAGGACGCTCAAAAAAGTGTATATTTTGCAAATTCAAGGGGAGCGGTCAACAGACAGATTGATCGGGGCATATCATGTGGTGAAAATCCTACTTACGGTTTAGTCTCGTTAGCGTTCTTCAGTCAGGCGTGTTGCCGTAAACCAATTTTTTGATATCAAGGACCCAAACAACGTTTATTCCGACTAGCAAACGTGTTATAGGAAATGTCCATAAGGCCCTGTACTTCTTTTTTAACCTCGGACGCGCTATAGTCAGATCTTTAGATGATTTGGACTTTACATTTATCGATGAAATGTGTCAGTTTGTACCATTTGGCAATATATTCAGAGATGAGGAGACAAAGGATATCAGCACTGAACTTTTAGTGTACAAGGTTATCATGAAAAGGATGCCCAGAACACTTTCCCAAACATTAAGATAGCTCTGAGAATATATCTAATTTTTATGGTAATAAACTGCAGTGGCGAGCACTCCTCAAAATTCAAATTAATTGAAAACCGATTGAGGACATTGAAGCAGGAACGACTTATTCATTTGGCTTTCATGAGCATCGAGTCAGATACACTACGTGACATGGACTTTCGTGATATGGTCAGCGATTTTGCAACACGGAAATCAAGCAAAGAGCATGGGCTGTAATGGTTATAACGTGATATGTAATATATTTGTTATTTGTTGGTTAAGTTATATTAAACTTTTAATGAAAAAATTGATTTTCTATTTTGTAAGTAAACTTGCGTTTGTTTCATTCAATCCATATTCACAAAATCAATTTTGTAAATAAAATTGTTTCATTTTGGGTTTTTGCAACTAACTGCGTTCTATTCTCTTTGTTCCTCACGAATTGTTAGCAAATTGTTTAAATGTATTTGATTTAAAAAGTGTTTGCAAAGTGACAAGGGAAACTAGAATCAACATTGTAAAGGGTTTCGCAATACGCGACGACTTGCGCCATCGTAACTATGTGACATGACCGAAACCATCCTAGCCGCTACTGAGAAGCTAACAGCCCTTAATATGCAAATAGATCAGTTAACTCAACAACATCACTACATTCAACAATAGGCTGAGCTTCATCATCGGCAATGGCAACATGGTCAACTGAATCAACGTCTGCCACAATCATTGTCATCCGTCATGACGTTTTAGACACCAATACTTAGAGTCAAGGTTGCTTCACTGATAACCAACAGCTACAGGGATTAAATCAGGTAAGTAAAGTGCATTTCGAATTTCGCATTTATCAAAAAACGCAAAATATTCCATTCCGAGGAAGGTGCAGTCCAGTACAACGTGCCAATGTCTTCCCGGTATAAAACCGTAAAAAACTTCTCACCAAACAAAAAAACCCTCAAAACCTCTTTTCAAAATTTTTAAAAGTAACTAAAACTGTTCTACCATCTTAGCTGGTGATTTAAACTATAACATCAGCATTTGGGGATGTAACGTTACGACTTTTCAGGGCAAGAAACTGCATGATTTTGCAGCCTCCAATAACGTGTCCTAACGAACCATTCCCTTCAAACCAAAATATCATTCCAGATATTCTCGATATCACTCTGACAACATAATTTCCCGCTTCATCACAATGTTTTGCCAGAACTAGTCTCCGATCACAATCCAGTAATCATATCACTCTCATAACAAATGTCCAAAGATTCGGGTACAACACAAAGAGGTATTACCAACTGAGATAAATTCTCCAACCTGATGGTTATCAACTACAAATTCCCTCGAAAACTCACCATCACCCAAGAGTCGAGTTATCAACGCCACACCCCAGCGGACGGTCAACAGCCTGTCGCCGGGCGCGGCTAACGGCCGATGTGGTGATTATTTGTAGCATCTTTTCCGATTTCTCTTCAAGATCTGTATTCATTACGCGAATTATAATTTTTCTTTTTCACTTGTTTCCTTTTCTTTATACTCTTAGTGACATTTGATGAACATATATTTCCGTATCGCACATTCTGAATCACCGACTGATGAATACCAGAAAGGAAATTGATACAAAACCGTTACATGCTCAGGGTTGAGAGGGGAGTCTGACTGGCAGATAAAGGTCAATCCACAGACAGCTGCGGCCGCGGTGGCTTCCAGGAAAGCGTTACAGTGTTTGAGAGTTTGCGTGTTCCAATACTTTTGGCTTCCTTTTACTGAGATATTTTCTTATACATTCTAATTTCTCTAATTTCCTGTACTTTCATTTTAAGTGTTTTTAATTGTATCACTTTACTATATGTTGGCACCTTGACGCCCAATTTGCTTAAATTTGGCGCCTTGTTGTTTAACTAGGGCATTTTTTATGTTCTTTAAAGGTTTTTTGAGGAAGGACTATACATATTCTAACTTGGCGCTCGGAGATTAATTTCTTAATTTTTCTCAAAATGTCGCGCGAATTTCTTTCTTGTTGCGCAAATACTCATTTCTTTCGTACAAAGTTCTTGACGTAGATTGTCAGCTGTTTCCTGTTCGGAGCGTCACTAAAGATCGCCACCAGGTCTTGGGCAGCCCGGCGTAAAAATTGCAATTGTCGAAATACTAGGAAGTCACCGATTTTCTACCATCAGACGCTTGCTCGTATTATCATTACAAGCTAATGTAGAAAGCTAAGTAAACAGGTTTTTGAACGCCTTCAGGTTCGATTCAG